GCAGGTGAAAAATATGAAAATCTGATAATCTTAAAATGTTTTACTACATTTGTATATAAACCTATTCTAAAATATGAGACACTATGGATTTGTACATTTGTGCATTGTTTATACATTTGTTTGCATGCCTTCCTAGAGTTGTACCAATACTTAGTTTGATACCTTTCCATAGTTATAACAATGCTACTATACCTCAAATAAAAAGACTGCATCTCAGACTGGCTAGATTACAGAATCTGGCCTATTAGCCAGTGGATTTTATGTTGAAGCTCAGGACCTGGTGAATTGTATAAGGTGATTCAAACTCAAGCCATTGGTTATTGGTCATCTCATGGGATCCTTTTATAAGTGAACTTCATCTAGCTTTTAAATTTTTCTATAACAGTATATGGCTTTAAACATATTTTACTTTCTTGTGATCTGGTGTTTTGCCCCAGAATGATGTAAAGTTTAAGTTTTGCTTGCTCAGTATTACATCATTCCTTTTCTTGGCAAAATATACATTGACCTGACTTGGAGCATTATTGGAAACTTATGTTTTTCCTAATATCTTATAATTTGCAATGTCATCTGGAGGACTCATATCCTAAGAGAAGAACGTTAAAATTTGACAGCATGCCTCTGAGATCATTTGGCAAATTAAACATTTTGGTACACATTGTTGAACCTCTTTCTCCATCAAGAAATAACAGTTGCTGATTCTCTGTTGGGCTCCCTTCTACCTGGTTTTTATGGGAGACCATTGGTGCTAATTAGGTCTTCATGGTCTTGGCACAATTCCCACCCTTCTCTTCCTACACACGCAGAAAAACAGTACATATTTATGCACATAGACTTAACTGAAGAATATGCTAAGTAAATGTAAATTCAGACCAGAATTCTACCCTGGAAATGTGCTTTGCTCCTCTGAGTTACATTTTACATATGGATTGGAACAATGTTGTGTGCGAAGAGTAAGTAATTTAGACCATTACTGCCTTTGCAGTTCTCTTGTTTTGTTTAATGCTCCTGAACTCTGAAATAACCTCTATAATCAGCAGAAGGAAATGTAGGTATCTACAAGGATAATATATAGGACAGAGTCATTCAACAGCCCATGAAACCCCTCAGAGCTGAATGGTAGGGAGCCTCATAAAGTTTCTCGTCTGCTTGCAAATCATTGTAGTTTGGTTAAATGAGACAAGATTTAATTTTTATTGTAAGAAAAATTATCCTGTAATTTTCAGAGAAAAGGCTTTTTAGAATACAGGGGGAAGCATTAGGGGACTGTGTCACTTATGTTTTTATCCCTCTATCATCTATGTTACAGTTTAATTAATGACCTATTTCTGCTTCAGAGTCCCTCTCATCTGTTTGTGGTTTGAGATTACTTCCCCGTCGGCAGAAGCGGATCATTGGTGGGAAAAATTCTTTAAGGTAAAAGCCTCCTCAGAGGAGATGTTCTATATTACAGAATTATTTATATGCATAGTGTTACAAACTGGGGATTTTCTATTATTATATAAGGAACTTGTTTTACTCATTTTATTTTCTAAACTAAGTACAGATTCTGCTGATAATTTCACTGTCCTTTGACATATATTTACTTTATATAGACCATGTTTTTATATCATTATCCCCTAATTTATGAGATAGATGTGTTGCTGAAAAGTTACATGGTGAAAACAA